ATTCTCTCTCGAATTCTTAGCACTGGTAACATAGATTGGCCTATGTTTTGTTTTGATCTATGCAAATTTACTTTCAATCTCAGGCAAAAATGGAAAACTCTGATCTGTCACAGTTAATGGAGGAGTCATGGAGTCCTGTTTTGCTAAGTTCCGTTGGTCAGTAAAAATGTATATAACAATATCAGGTGTAAGGCAGAAGTCTGCAGTGTGAGGCAAGTTTTTCTCCCCTTTCTGCCTATATCATCACACCCACTAAATGTGATAGTTTCTTACAACATTTGCTATTTCAGCCGTCACGTAAATAGCCAATAATTTTGCATCAGCTTTTCTGTTGTTCTGGTGATCTGGTTGATAATGATATATTTATCTGCTTCCTTTTTCTTCAGTTTGGTTTGTTCATAAGAAAAATTGTTTAATGCCTTGTCTCTTTTTCTTATTAGATATTCCGTTTTGACGCAAACATAGATACGTAGAACTGAAAGCTTCCTTAGATTCTTGTCTAAGACTCACATTTTCAGATGAGGGTCAAATGGATGAATTGACTTTCCCAGATGCCTTGCTCACCCCCTTCCAGCTCCTTCCCCTCTACGGCACTCTGCCATCAGAATACGCTGCTTTACCCAGCTAACATTTTTGTCACCTCTGCATCATTTTCTCAGGGGACTCAGAATTTTGGGATTTCCTTGGCCAAACATTGTTTTATGAGAGTCCTCACCAGGTAGTTTTTCATTTTATCTGATGAAGTAGAGCTTTTAAGAAGAAAATGTTATGCAGCATTTCTGGGACAACAGAAGAGAGTGGTCGCTGTCACAGTCCACCCTCAGGCCGCGGCCGCAGGGAATGAAGCTTCACTGTGCGAGCGCGCACGCATATCGATGGTACAGTTAGACAGCATTTGTATTGCTCAAATGAATGTTCATTTGCTAATTCCTGGTAAAAGGAGAATTTATGTGGCTAAATGACACTGACTGATGGTACAGGTCAACACAGTAAGTGTGCAATGAATGCACAAGCCCAAGTATAAAAGCAAATACTCCCAAATGATAAAGCAGGTGCAAGCCCAAGAATCTGAAAAGGTGTATATACATAGCTTTCGGAGGGGGAGTTTTTTATAATAAGTTTTCATTTTTTAGTTCAGTTTCTGTGTTCAAGCACAGCATATCAAAGAATTCAGAGAGGACACTGAAACTGGTTTTTTCCTATTTGGCCAAAGTGCCATGAAGATCTCCTGTGGGCATCTGAGTGCCGCCTTACCTGCATAGCTCCCAACCATTCTCAAGCTATTCCTTTCCCACGTGAGTTAATGGTGGGTGGGAAGGCTGAAGAGAGCTGAGAAACCTGTCATAGTTTCTGCCTACTGGAAGTTCAGAAAAAATTCTTAGGGACTAGAAGTGGCCTGAATTTTTTTCGGTGGCTGGGTGATATTTTTGCATGTTTATTTTTTTGAGGAAAACTTTTTTTTCTATTCAGCTAATCATGGCAACTTTGGTAGGTAATGAGACAAGTTCGGTAGGGCTAAATAATAATTTTTAATTATCTGAGAGGATTTTTAGGAAAAGAATGATGTAGAATGTGTGTAAATTCTTATATTTATTACATCAGAAATTGATTCAAACTGATTTTGAAAAATTACTTCTTTAAAAGTTGACCTTTTCCTGATTTTTATGTGGTGCATTTATTACACTTTTTCAGGCGGGCATTACAAAAAAATACTTTTGGTCTTATGCTGATTGTCTAATGAGCCTGAGCCCATTGGTATTATGATTAAAGAGTTTGCAAGTTTCTGAATTGTTACATTAGGTAATGAGAAATACAGGTCAAAAAAGCTATTTTAATGGCTAGTTTTAAGAGCAATGACATAAAAATTCATAGTATACAACCGAAGAACATTGTTTTGGGAAGGAAGTAAGGTTTCATTTCTCGTAATTCCACACTTGAAATGACAGAATGTAATTCTAATGAGACCTCAGACTTTGGACTTTCACTGTGTAGAATATCTCAGTTGATTACATCCCATTTATAGATCCCAATTATAGACAGAGTCTTCCTTCAAATGTGATGTCGCCATCTTGGTTGACTGCCGGTTGAAGTCTGTTACGTGCATATGGCGAAATTATTTTTGAAAGGGGAGAAGTAGAAGAAGGAGGAGACTTTCTTTACTCTGAGAATTCAGAGATGCAGGAAAGTAGATCTTTAAAAATGCTTAATCCCTTAAAAATCATATGTTTAAACTATTTTTAGACCTATCTATACTTCTCTGTTCTTCTAAACTCTAAGTTATTGGAAACGCAGGGTGGAGGCATTGTGGCAGGTATTTTTCATTTCCGTTGACCCTTGAACAACACGGGGCTTAGAGGGGCCACCCAAATCCACGCTTTGACTCCTCAGAAACTTAACAACTAATTGCCTGTTGTTAACTGGAAGCCTTACCAATAACTTAAACAGTCTATTGACAGATACTTTGTATGTTACATGTACAATATACTGAATTTTTACAATAAAGTAAGCAAGAGAGTAGAAAATGTCTCTTCAAACTGTTGCCAACCTCCAAAACTTTTTCCAATATATTTGTTGAAAAAACAAATCCATGTATAAGTTGAAACCTATGCTGTTTGAGGGTCCACTGTATTTGTTCTTTGAAACACTGGGGTCACTGCTACCTAGGAAGGCACTCGTTTATTATACATAATAATAAATTACTGTTTATTTCTTTAAGATAACTCTAACTTATCTTGAAGGACAACTTTCACAAAATGGACTTAAATGATGTGAAAGTCAACATTTATTGAGCCTGAGAAATGAAACACTTTTTCGTACTCAATGGAACTAAATATTTATGACAGCGAAGACCAAGGCCCCCTGGGGCTTCCCTCTGACCATCACACTGAGGGTGGCACAGGAGTTCTGCAGATGCTCCACATCATTTTTATCATCACTGAATCTTCTGGGAATAATCTGCATTCAGTGTGTTGCTAAATCCAGTCAGTCAGCAACCCACCGCTGCCCGCTCCCCACTTCAGGCCCTGCTGCCTTTGCTAATTCCTCCTCGTCCTTCAAGATTCAGGTCAGCAGCCAATTTGAGGACTCTTTCTTTGTCCCTCAGACTGCGCTAAAAGCTGCACTCTGAGCTCAAGGCAGCTTATATATACCTCTGTCCTTGTACTGACCAGAGTATTGAAAAATACCTGTTTCTGTCTGTCTTTCCTATTAGAAACAAGCTTCTCAAGGTCAGAGACTCTTTTTATTCATTTCTGTTTCTCCAACATCTGGCAAAGTGCCTCGGACAGGAGGGGCACTCAGTAAATCTTGATGAACTAACCTTACCTTCTCTCAGTGAACTCACATTTTCATGGGAAAGACGACTTACCAACAAGCAGTTGAAATGTGAAGAGGTCCTTGCCATACAAGGTGTGTGTGCAGGGGTCACTGGAGGCCCAGGAAGTCCTATAGCCCATCCTCTTCATGACGTCACAGACTAAACTGTGAGGAAATGGGTCCAAAGGTCTGAGTGATATTCTGGTTCTCCACCAGAGAAATAGGAGGAAATAGGATCAAAATAAAGGAACACAGAGAAAGGTGGACCTTATACTACTCTTACTATGATTTGCAATACTGGCTCTCCTGGCTGATGGTCCTTTTTCTCCACCAAGATCGCAGCAGGTCGTCACCCTGGAAACGAGATCTCGTCACCCTGGAGAGGAGCATCCTCTGTTTCTGAGAGAGACCCAGGTCCTGCCTTTAAGAAGCATACAAACCGAGGGAACAGCTTTGTGCACCAAGGCTCAATACACACCAGAATGGGGTAAATGGACTGCTGAAGAGAAAGAAGAAAGTATCTTCTCGGAGATGCTATCTCTGAAAGGAATACTGGAAATAATGGCAGGGGAAACTAAAGTCGGACTGATTATTTTTTAAAAAGGAAGCCTGGGAACTCGAGGGAGCTGGGCTCCAACCATTCTCTGTAGATGGGGTTGCTGCTCCTGGAACCGTGCAGACAGGGAGCGTCGCCCCCATTGGGGCCCGGTGTTAGGTGCACTTCATAGGCTCCGTGGAATGTCATTAAATACAGACCTCAAAAGTAGACGCTAATGACATTCAGAGCAAGAGGCAGAAACGATCACAGGGCACTGTGCCCTCCTGCTGACACGCGTGGGCCCGGGGACGTCGCTTCAGGTTCTCTGCACGAAGGAACATTCTAGTGCTCGGTAAAGGTGACTCTAGCCCAGAGCTCAAGGGAGCAATTCCATTTGAGCAAATACGGCACAAAGCCTGAGACCCCTTCTTCTGGGAAGTCATGAAATAAACAATGACTTCTGGCCAGCGCTCTTAAGCCATATTTGCTTCATGTGTACCAAAGGGCTGCACCCCTCCAAGAGGGGAGGCCACTGCGCTGCCTGTGGCAAGACCCCTGACATCTACAGCTTCCCTGTGGAAAGCATCTTCATGCAGACATCCTTGTCTGCCCTCTGATACGCTCAGTTTTAAACAAGACACAGGCGAAGCCCGTTCCTTCGTCTCCAATAAGGCAACGATAAGTTCGGATTGGCTATGGCCATGGCCCACCAGTTCTGGCACAAGACTGACAAATAAAAGGGGTCAAAGTACCACGCCACCATCACCCGTCCCACTTTGCTGACCCCGCTACTCAGCTCCCTCTGCAAGGGCTGGGCTGGAGGCTGGGCTTCTGCGCTCCCGAGTAAGCTCCCCTCCCTTCCGGCTGGGAGCAGAGGGCGTGGGCCGACAGCAGAACACCGACGCCGACCGACGAGGCCGTGGTGAGGATAAGGGGGGGCAGGAAGCCCTGTGACCAGTTCCGTCCTTGCTGTCCTGCAGCTTCCTTCCTGCTAGAGAACCAAACTAGGCTGTAACTCAGCGGAGAACCGTCTCTCTTGGTGGCCCCCCGGCTTCTGCTGCTTCAGTGTAAAACACCTTATGTTTAACAAAGTATGAAACGCAGAAGTGAAAATTATTTTAAATAAAAAGGAGGTGAAGGTTGAATATTCACTTTAGATTACTTTAATTTTATGAATATTCCAACTCAAAGAAGAATATTGCACATTGCTTTTATATCACAATTGTCATTTTTCTCTCTGGTGAGATTTTGATAGACAAAGTTGACTTTGGAAATAACACAGAGAGAATGCCTTAATTGGTTAAACGATTTCAATAACCTCTGAGGAACTGAAAGTAGGATATTACATTCATAGAAAAGACAAGTACATATGCATAAATTCACTCGGCTGTAGCAAAAACTGAAAACTTCTTGTGTACTCAGGAAACTTAAAGGAGACAAAAGTGAGAATGCTGCAAAAATAGACTCGAACTCCACGATGCATCAATGCAATTTTTGCTTGTGAAAATCCATTATACCTGCAAGACTTCTAAGAATATCTGACCACCCTGTAAACCTCTTAATGCTGGAGAAGCTAACATCTGATATTTTAAAAACAAAATCCAAGTAAATACAAGTCTGCACTGTTAGAAAAAAAAAGAACACACAAAATCTGTGAATGGTAAGATAAAATTACCCCAATAACATAAACAAAAATACAAAACCAAAAAATAAAAGCATCATGTTTTGGCACCTGTAAACATTTCTGTTCAAACTTGTGAATCTAAAGTTTTCCCCCAAGTAACAAACAGTTATCATCATGTAGTTACAGAGTAAATGCTGAAAATTTAAGAAAATAAAATGTCAGTGGTAAGTAAACAAAGTCCTATGAAACTCTCCCAGTCCTTACAACTTTATCACACCAGTTTTTGTCATGTCTCCTGTCTGCTCCCCAGCTTGTTCAGCAGAGGCACAGCCTGGGCTGGGGCCCTGAGGGGAACACAGGCTTCAGGGGTCCGCCGTGCTCTTCCCAGACTTCCATTTTGCGTTTTTGTTATTTTTAGAAGTGTTCCTCGTCAAATTCATGAACACACCAAACTTTTGCTACGTGTTTTGTTCATTGCCCGGAAAGCCCAACCACAGGCAAGGAGAACGGGCTTCAGCATAGCGCACTGTCTGACGCGCCCTCACTCGTGCTCTGAGACGTTCCGGCAATGTTGGGGCTCTTTCTTAACGTTTAAGCTAGATGTTCCACACCGTGAATATTTTCCTTAACGGTTCTCCTAAAACACAACTCGTTTTTCACATTTTTGTGAACATTCCAGGCATCTGACACTGGAATATTTACTCTGCTGTCTTCATGAAACCCCGGTATTTTATGAACTATTTGAAGAAAGGGTACCTGCAGAAGGGACCTTCAAAAAAACACTTTTTTTTATCAAAAAGAAAAGGGTAGAATAATGGATTAGTTCAACTACCATGCCTTAAACTGAAGATGCTGACTATATTTCAGAAAACATAATTATTCCATTCAAAAAAATGATTCTTATTCATTCTGATGATTGGAGATTTACTCTGAATAAAAGATAAAGAAATTTCGTGAGTCTAGGATGGTGCCTGGATTGTGTGTGGGAGCAATTTTTTCAATTGGACGTAGATATTGGGCTATAACCACTTATGATCTTGTTTATTCATTAGATAATGATATGGCTATTCTGTGATTTCCATTTTCTGTTTGTTTTTAACATTTTTTAATTTCAGAACAATTAATTTTTTAATTAATTTTTCTCATCTGTCACTCGGATTCCATCTGGGTTTAAACAGAAGGCTTAGTCATAGTTTGGGGAGGAAGAAACTGAGCATGCATCAAAATGACTGCACCACCGAGAACCAAATTTCATTATAAATTCAGGAGACAAAAACTTCAGCTCCAAATATACATAAATTACTTGTGATAGTTTAAATAAGTCAAGTAGTATTTAAAGGCTTACCTTCCAGCCTTTTCACTATTAGTATAATAGGATCCCCACAAGTTGAGGAAGTTATTCACTACAAAGCCAACCTGTGATACGTCAGAATGTTTTTGCCATCAGAAGTATACACATCGGCCAACAGGGAACTTAACTGTGAGTCAGAAAAGATAACGACACTAAATAAAACCCTTTTACATTTGAAAATGCCATTACAGTTCAGAAACATCTTCAGAACACAAAACCTGTAACAATTTTTTAAATCTTCACACATACACTCCATAGTTTTCTCTACCAATAATCAAAAGCTCTGCAGGTTATGGGATGTGCTTATCATCATCATTCAAGCTAGGACAAGCCTACTGTAGCACTTCCTTACTTACAAAAATCAAAACTAATTTTATTTAAAATACAGTTCTTTAATTTATAATTCCTATTGAAGAGGACTTGAGAATTCCACAAAGTATACCTTAAAACATTCCAAAGGGACACAGTGGAGGAAATCCAACATTATTTTTTCTATTCTAAAGACTCAGTGCAGACTCCCCGCATGGGCTTCTAGGCCTGGTTACAACCTGCAAACTGGAGAAAGGGCCAACAGCATTGCTTGTGGGGTGTTAGCTGCCCTTTGGATGCTTTGAAGCCTTCTTTCCTGAATCTTGGTGACGTGACAGGATCCAGGATTTCTGCATTTGGAAACCGATGTGTCAATTCCTCATTTTTCTTTAAAGCATCCTTTTAAAGACCTCATTGAAAATGTCTACATTAACAAAGTCTTTAAAAACCTCTACTGGGACTTCAAGAAGGCTTCAGATGCACATTCACACAGAGGCCTGAACTCGACAGCAGCTCTGACATGCAGATTTGAGGAGTGCATGTGTGCTTTTTATCTTCAAAGAATATATTCTCCAACCTATCAGGGGTTAGGAAAATCTGTCTAAATCCTATCTACTGAGGGGAAAAAAAGTTATCTAGGGATTTCTCTTACCATTTTTTAAAAAGATGCTGATATTATCTAGGTCAGTTTTTATTTTCAGGGTTTGGTTTGGGTAGATTGTAAAAAATATCAGTCAGGGACATATAAGCAAATAATGAAAACATAAATGTACTTGAACTCTCAGTCAAAGCTGTTCCTATAACCCTTGCTGGTTGAACCCCATACATCTCCTTTTGCTAATTCATTCCATGTGAAAACCAGTTCCTCCGGGGTTTTTTGGCAGAGAACATCAGAGAGGGCAACGTTAGACACTGACTTTAAGTATTTGAAAGTGAACTCTTAAATCAGAGTTTGTTAGTGCTGAACCGTGATGCGAACCATGACTGCACGGAACAGCCGTGAATAACCTCTCCCAGAACCTCATGCTTCGGTTTCACCTCTTGAATTTATCCTGGGAAATCCTTCAGAACTAACAAACGTACCAAAGGAAATAGTTACCGTTTACCATTCTGAATGCACCAAAGCCAATACTTTGAAGAACCTACAGTGTATTCTTCAGATATATGTGCCATCGACTATGAAAAAGGAAACACTTCAGGGAAAAAAATCACATTACAAAGTGTATTAGAAAAATAAATTACATAGCATGTGCCCATGGACCTGAAAGCTTTGCTAAAGTAAATTTCTTTTGACACAAAGATTGAATCACTCTGGCTATTTTCATATTATCAACAATGTCGTTTTCAGCTTTTAAATTATATCCTCGAAAAAAAAAATCACTGAATGTAGAAAATTATTTCCAGTAGTGATCAGTAGCATGAAGGACCTCAGTGATCATGAGGCTGTAGAAATGCTGTCCATTCAACAGAGATTCAGAAGAAGTACACACACCCCGTTCGGGCTCGGTTTACCAGTTCATCGGGAGTTCATACGCAACTGGTGAATGATGACGCTCTCTATAAAGAGAAGAAAGACACGGCATTTTTAATTAAACTGAAACTCAGATGAGTAGTCTCTGTGAGGATCCATACCATATCATTTCATGAAAGACCATACATGTTAAACAAAACAAACGAAAACAGGTACATGAGCCCAATGGCTTCTCCTGCAGCTCTCTACTATCATTGGGTGACTTCCTTATGGATATACGTTTTACTGCAAACATTCTTAAAGCCATTTATCAACCATGCCTAATATTCTAGCAATCTATTGTGCCCAAGGGAAGAACTGAACACAAAGACAGTAATTGGAGTGTCCCCATGGTGGGGAACCAGACTATTTCCCAGAAGTAACTTTATTCTCCCAGCCAGGCTCTTTCTGTTCTGAACAGCTTTCACATCCTTTTAATTTTTTTTATGTGTGTGAATTTGAGTTTTAATAAGGAAACAGTCATTATTTATACCTAAGATGTCACAAAACACCTATGACTCATGTTTGCCACTGCCTGCTGCTTTTTGCATAATTCTGTGTATGCTTTTAAATCTAAATTCATTCTTATAAGAGTAAACAAAAAATAGGTGGAGACACTGATTAGAATAGTACCAGCCCCATTAGAGATGTGTGATACTTATATTTACCCAATAGATTCCGCTCAACCTTTATGCCTGCATGCACATGAATCATTTCTTCCATTCTAGCACT